CAGTTTATCTTAAATGATTTTGTTATTTTCAAATTGTCTTGTGTTAGAAATTTTTTTTTAAGAATACGTATATTTGTTTTTATAAATTTGAAAAGTTTTTGTCACAAAACATAATAAAATCTCTTAAAAAACTTGTTAACTTTATTATAAATTTTAGTAAAAACATATTTATATGAAAAAGTGTTCTAAGACTTTATTATGACAAAAAAAAAATTTCAAAAAATTTTCTTAATGATGAAAAACGTAAATATTAGTATAAAATATTATTTAAAATTTCTTTTGATTTATTTATGGAAAGAAATGTAAACATAGTTAAAAAAGATTTTGTAGAAGATGTTGTTTTGATTCATTTTTGTCATGTAATATTTTTTTAAAGCCAAGTCATAATAAAATTAGTAAAAATAATTCTTATGGTGACACATAAGCAAATTTGAGAAAATCATTTCTCAAATAATTTATAAAGGATTCAAAATGATGATTGCATATGCTATAAGGTCTTGAGTAAAGTACCTGAACATAATAGCTTCCTGTGAGAAGAAACAACATAAGTACCAAAGAAGCAATCATTCCAGCTCTCTTTATGCTCAACACTGAAGCTCCTAAGAACTCTCCTGCACCCTGAAACAACGCTTACATAATAAGAAAAGCTAATTAAGTCATTAAACCCGAATTATCGAGTTTTTTTTTTTGTAAGAGATTATAATGAACTTACTTGGCTTGTAATGGCTATCAATAGAATTGTTAACAATGTGAAGAAGAAGCAAGGGATTGTTCTTTTGAAATCAGCCATGAAATAGACAATGATGATGAAGAATGTTGGGTAGATAACATGTGCAACCATATCACAAAGTGTGCTACATATGTAATACACACTTAGTCTATACATATCTGCCTTCCTTTCTTTAACTAGATAGATTTTCTCAAATGGGAACACATAAACTGCTCCAAACATTGATGAAGATGTCCAAAATATGCATATGTAAAACATCAAACCAACTTGCAAAAATGTTAAAGATTAAGCTATCAAGAAATTAAGTTTTGGTACTTTTTATACTTACTTGGTCTCTGAGGTGAGCTTCTGTGTCTAACTTTGATTTCCACCAGAGTCCAGAGAAGATCCAACAAGACAGAAACTCCAAGTGATTGAACTAGTCTTAGCTTATCGAAGTAATCTCTACACCTCTCTCTGTATGTTCTTCTGAAAATGATAAAGAACTGATCCCACCATGAAAATGTCCACTCTTTCTTCACTTGAATCGGCATTTGAAGATTCTCTGCTACTTCTCTGTTTCTATGGTTCTCTTCTTAATTCTCTCTTGGCTCCAACTGTCTTATACTTTAGTTCTAAGTACTGTAAAACATATAGGACTCATCAGTTGATTAAGAAAACTCATAATACCTAAGTTTAAGAGTGAT